TTCGCCCATCCACATTTAGCATTGCACAATTCCCACAGGACGGGGCGAAGAAGACGGACACAGAACCAGTTGTTGTGGAAAAACAGATGAAATTGGCCAACTATCGTACTCCGAAGCGGTTTATACTCTTGCATTGGGTGTACTATGCACCATGGCAAACGGAAATGCATTTCCACTTTCAATTGTGTACACAGCGCGTGGAGGAAATGATCTGTTGCCTTAATAACAATAAGATCATAATCTAATCTGACACCCCGAATATTGTGAGAGCTGGGAAATCAGATCTTCAATCACAGTCTATACTCCAGAGGAGAGTATACAGATTCATTTGCTACAGATTTAAAATACCTGAAGCTTGATTGCGTTGCATCCCAGGGCAAAGGTTTCTTTGAAAGGTTCTCGAGAGTATTTCTTACTCGTACCCAACGGGTATTTTCTTCGGGCTTAAGCTTAGGTATGGTATCCCCTACCATTACAACTATGTATACCCTTTGAAGAAAAAGGGTAGCTGGCCACTAACTGACTTGGCCATATCACACAGCAAAAGAAGGCAGGCTGCAACTGCAGCGAGCCAAAACTTATAATTTATAAGCTGGTTTCCTTGTTCCATGATGTGCAATGCATTTTTTAAGTTTAAGCAAAACAGAAAAAACACCTGCAAGTCGCTCCCTCTCACTCTCTGCCACTGTGTCGTTGCCTCTCTCTCTCTCTGTCTCTTGGTCTGGCTCTGTCTCTGTGTTGCGCATGCGCAGCGACAAAGTACTTCTACTTTTTTTTCTGCTGCTGTCTCTGCCACATGCATGCCCCTCGCTTGCCCCTTCCTTTAGTCTCTTTGCTGCTTCGCTTGCTTCTTTTTTGCATGAAATAAAATCTCACGGTTCAGATGCGTACGAGAGTTGGCAGAAAGACAAAAGAGAGCCGAGCGGTTGGCCCAAGAGCCACTCGGGGGGCAGGTGGTAGGAAGTCTTGGCAAAAACAAAAACGCAAAAACTATCCATTTGTGTGTGTGAGAGAGAGGGGGAGAGACAGGGATGGATGGATAGACATGCATGTGGGGTTTGTTGCTGCAAAAGAGACATAAAAACCAAGAGAGAGAGAGAGAGAGAGAGAGGGAAGCCAAGTTTTGGAGAGGCGAAGCTTTTGATACCGTAGCAGAATGATTATTTCTATGGTGATGATTGGACATCAGCAGTTCCACTGGCGTACATAAAGAGGAAAAAGCTAATGTTAGACACCTCCTAAAATTATAGACACCTTCTGGGCACCGACAAAGTCGTCATGCCCGCTTCAAAGGGTATGCAAAAACAGCAAGCACCGAGCAAAACCAGTTTCTGCATCGATCGACAACAAAGCAGACGAAGCAGTAGAAGAGGAGGGGGGGCTACACTTGAAGCATTTGCCGTTACCCATGCAAATGGAGTAATAGAAAAAATTTGAATAAGAATTTGTGCATTTCATTCCACTGTGCTGTGCCGCTGTCCCACGTTGTCGTCCTTTTTAACGAGCGAAATACTGCAGTGGCACCGACAATCCGGACTTCATTCATATTTAGGAGATGCTTAATGGGAACTGGGGCTGCTGCCGCCGCTACCGCTACCTGGACCACGCAGGCACAGGTAGATGGTAGAAAAGGTAGAAAGACGAAACGAAACGAAACGAAAGGAAACACCTTGTTTGCGAACACTGGGAAATCACGCTGAGCTGCGCTGCGCTGCTCGAGAAACCTGTTGTTGTTGTTGTCCCGCTGTCCCGCAGAAAGGGCCAAATCAGAACCAGAGCCAAGCCAAGCCAAGCAACAGATGCACGATGTGCAGAGGGATTGAGAAACGCATTGGGAGAGACAGAGAAATATATGTATGTAGATACGAGGCATTTCCTACCCTGAAATCTGAATGAATCGAATCTCTTTTATCACTGCTGGGTGCTCCCTTCCCAATCTTTGTCTGTGGCGTCTTTTGTCTGCACTCTCGCACATGAATGATGTATGATCGTGCACCTCGCCAGTGCCCAGTACCCACTACCCACTACCCCGTATCTGTACTCGTATCTCTATGCGTATCTGGCAGTATCTCTGCAGTTCTATCTACTAGATGCTGATACACAGAACTTGGCACACAAAAGGAGGGATCTGAGAACTGCTTACCTTTCATATTGCCATGGTCCACATAGCCGGCATTGCTGGAGGACGAGGCCGCTGCGGCAGCTGCCAGGCAGACGAGGATCTGCACAGCGATCCCCATCGATCCGGGACTCCTGCTCATGGTGCGGTGGCACTTTCTATTGGCCGTTTTATCCGTTTTCCAGGGGCTTTGCTTATTTTCATAAGCTGTACAAACACGCGATTCGCTTCGGGATCGGCCTGTGTTGGTGTTGATTCTGTTTTTGTTTATTTCAGACTTTTGATTACAAACTTTTCGCGATAATTTGCAATGGGGAATGGCGAAGGGTTGGGACGGGACTGCGGCTGCGGCAGCGACTGCGACTAGTGAAGCGTAACGTGCCCCATCTCAGAGCCAGACTTAGCCCGGCCAGAACCAGCCGCCAGTTCTGTCACTGGCAGAATACGCGGAACCGTATATTACGAGTATGTATAAAGATAAACTTTATATTATTTTTTTTTTTTGCTCGTTTCGTTGCGCTGGCAAGTGTTTCGCCGAAATCTGTTTTTAGCGAGCGATTCCGCGTAACGCGAAATGCGAAACGCGAACGATCGCGTTTGAGTTAACGTGTTTACAGGTCGCACGGGGGCGGGGGCGGTACAGAGCGCGAGGCCAACGGTAGTGGCTAATACCAACACAACGTAAACGCTCAATGGGCGATGCGATCATTCACACGCGCACACACACACGCACAAACACAGGCACAGACACCGACACTGACACCTCGTATGGGCCAAAAGCTCTGCTCTTGCTGTTGGGCTGGTGGTGTAATTGTAATAGTTGTTAACAAAACTTGCACTTGATAACTCGACTCGACTCAACTCTCCTTGATTTGATTGCTTCCCCGTAGGATTGTTGAAGAAACTCCTCCGCTTTGATTTGCAGAGTTATTATTTGGAGCAATGCCTGGCACTGATAGCACTGATCCGCGCGAACAACCGTTAATCGACAACAAAAACAACAACGACGTCAACGAGGGAGACGTTGTTTAACCGTCAAGAGCGAAAATTGAAATGCCGCCTTCGGCGATTCTAACCGCGCGCCTGTTATCGATCGAATTGGTATATCAGTATGGCTGTATGCGGTGTGGCATGAAATACCACAACATAATACTGAAGTAAACGGTGTGACCGTACGCCAAGAGCCAAAAAATTCCACAGTATGTATCGGTTCCACTTATCCGATATGACCAAATAATCAGCAAAACCAAACCGGGGCTAGGCCGCATAAAAATACCGAAAATACCAAAAAGCAGTTTTCTGTCAAAGGACGAATTGGGAAGTGCGCGCGCGGATGTGTCACTGGCCGAGGAACCCTTGTGCCGCATATCCTCGGATACACGCTGGGCCGCAACGAATGGAGCGTCATCTTGTCATCGTCCTCGTCTAGGCCGTACTTGGAGAAGTGCTTCACACAAAACACCCAACTGCCGGTCTCTGGGCGATACTCGACGAAGCGCGTATCGTTTGCATAGCAGGCGCAACGCAGATGTCCCTCCCAATTCATTTCGATCAGACGCTGCGCATCCTTCACAACAGGCACAGGCTGGGTCTTGTCCACGGGCCATACCTGCTCGAGGGCCTTCAGGCCTTGGTTGATAGGCGGCCTCTTCTCATCGTCAGGATAAATGATGATCCCCTTGTTACGGAAGTAAACTGCAGAGAGAGAGCGAGAATAGTTCTTGGCGGATGATGCTTGTCTGGCCTGGCTCCTCCCCAATCACTTACCAATCTCATCCAGATTCAGTCCAGCCACGTCCATTTCCATGGCAAAGAACACAGTGCCATAGCCCTCGCGTCCAATGGTGAAATTGGGCACCACACAGGACCCATCCTCGGCCAGGTAGGACTTGAGATCATCCAGCGAGGGTATCGTGTAGTAGCCCACGCGTCGCAACACTATCCCTGTGGGATGTGGCGCATAGTTTGACGCCCCATAGCGCCTCGCTGCTGCCTCAATGGCCAGTCTGGAGCGATTCACTACAGTCTCCTGCGAGAGGGCCGCCTGCTGCTGCTGCTGCGATGCGAAGGTATCCCGCTTGGCAATGGCGCTGGTTTGCGACTTATCCGTATCCTGCCGATGTTGGTCTCTGCTGTCCCTGGAAGAGAAACCGCTGCTGCTGCTACTGCTCGCCGCTCTGTGGGACTGTCGGACTTTTGTGGTGACGTCCCAAAGCCGCTTGGAGCCTTTGGCGACCGTTGCTGTTCACCGAAATTGGTTGGGATTGCCGGCTGTTTTCTCTACCGGTAAGGTATTTACTGGTACTATATCGTTACTAACTAAGTTAACGTTACGTAGTTACTGCACGGTGCCTAGTTAGTTTAGGCGTTTAAGCGAGTTTAAGTAAAAGAGTTTAAGCCGATTTTGCGGGCGTCCGCAGACGCACACACACACGTAACTATGCTCATATGTCGGGCTGTTGCTCCACTTAACTACAGGTTAGGTTACTACTGTTACTAGATAGTTACTAAGTTAACGTTACTTTACGTAGTTGCTGTTCGTAGTTAGTTTCAGCATTTAAGCTAGCTTAAGCGCTTTGGCGCGCCGCGTCTACACTCACACAAACACACATATCATAACGGATCTTTCACTAGGGCTGGATCGTTGCCGAAACGATAGTATCGATATAAATTTAGAAATTAGATTTATATAAATTGCAATTGAGATGGATCTCATGAGATGAGATAGTTATAGCTAGACTATAACTATAACTATAGCTTCTGATAAGGATTGGTAAGGACCTAAACTGGACGTAAACGTACAACAATCGATAGTATTGTGTTCGTATCGATAGCATAGCTAGGGCTGCAAAATATAAGTATTACAAATAAACAAAAAAACCAAATAAATAAGACTAAACAAAATGAGTATTGTAGACTTGCTAGCGAAGTTGGAGGACAACGAACCCGAGCAGAAATACGCCCGCCTGATGCTGATATCCAAGGACCTGGAGACTGACAGCAATTTAAGCAGCTATGCTGACGATGATGGAGACGGTATGTATTCTAGCTGCAAGCGGCAGTTTTTACCACTCAAATTATATTGCAGATGCCATGGACACCGCGTCCTCGATGCCCAGCAATGTCCGCTGCAAGTGGGCGGAGGGCGAGGTGGATGTCTTCCTCGACCTAATATCCTCCATGGGCCTGCAGGCTGCATTGCTGCGCAAACGGAACGCAAAAGTCTTCAAGATTATTTCCAAGGAAATGGCCAAGAGACAGTACACCAAAGGACCGGACAAGCTGCGTATCAAGTTCCAGCTGCTCAGACGGCTGTACAACAAGGCCAAGAACGGAGGTGACACCTTCGAGCATTACGAAGCGATGCGAAAGCTGCTTGATCCCACAGAGGAGGAACTGGCGGCTGTGGATGCGAAACCCATCCTAAGCAGTGGCAGCGACAGTGAATCCAACGACAGCGACGACGACGATGGCGACAACTCGCAGCGTGGTGGAGGTTGATTTTGCACCTTGTCCATTCATTGAATCCGACACTAATGAATCCCTTTTCACAGCCCACTTCTGGACAGACGAGGAGGTGGATGCCTTTCTGCTGATCATCAAGGAGAACGGTTTCTTCCGTGCCCTAGATGGGCGCAAGAAGCGCAACTTCCAGACCCTGGTGCACATTTCCAACATCCTGGCCAAGCAGTCCTTCAAGCGAACGCCCCACCAGCTGCGCAACAAGCTGCGGCTCCTGATCAAGCGATACCGCGAGGCCAAAAAGGATGGCCTCAGCAATGTACGCATACTGCCCCGTCACTTCCAGCTGTTCGATGAGCTAATCAACGCCCCCAAGGGTCTCAAGCGTCGCAGCCCCCAAAAGCCAGCCCGCTCTGCTCCAGCACGCACTGCTGCTGACCCCGAATACCTTTTAGACAGCGACAGCGAGAGTTCCACCTCCAGCTGTGACCTGTTAAGGGCGGCCGGCGAGAGTGACGACTACGAGGATGCCTTTGAGATGGCCACCGAGGCCACGCCATTGGAGGTGCTCTCCTCGATAAGCGAGGGACAGAGGAAGCTGGTGGAGTATTTGAAGCACTCGAACGATACCTTTCTCAGGCAGCAGCGCGATATGCAGAAGCAATTTCTGCAGGATATGACGGAGCTGATGCGACAGGATCGGGAGGAGACTATTCGCCGGATATCTGAAATGCTGGAGCCCAGGCCTGCTATGTGAGGAGAGCAAAGGAAAGGAAAGGCTGCATGACTTGTCTCAAGCTTCTAAAATTTTTATTGAATTGAATTCGAAGTTATTGCAAAAAGTTGTCATTATTTATATGTATGTATATATACTCGTATTTTATGTATATATATAATATATATATATATATATGCTATATTCATATCGTGTTTGTGTGTGGCCATATGTTTGCGTGTGTTTGTGTGTGTGGGTGTTGTATGGGGTCTCGTGTCCAATTTATGTATCTAAGTTTTTCATTGTATAATTATATATGTATGTAATTTTGAGAGATTTTTGTATTCGTATTTTTCGTTATTTTGATATGCTACACTTTTTTAGTTTTCGTTATTCTTGGGATTAAGTTAACAGTTTTTTTGGTGTTTTATTTTGTTTTCATTTTGTTTAACATTAAGCGAAAATGCTTGTAATCTTTAGAGTTACGTTACCTCATCGTGATCTCAATCGATCTGTCCGTGTGCACGGATATATCCATGCACACATTTTATGTATATTTTTGTATATTGTTCGATTCTGATTTCGTTACGCTTCGTTTCACAACAACTAAGCAAGCTCGTCAAAAAAAAGGATTCCTAAGCTGCCGATTCGTTCCGATCTGGCTGGATATACATACATACATACATATGTATATAGGTTTGTGTGGGGGCTATGTTCTATGCTTGTGTGTGTTCTGCATGCGTAACGCTCAGGCACAAAGTGTAAATTACAAATATCTCGATGGAGCGAAGCTCTCTCTCTCTCTCTCTCTCGGGTAAAGCGAAAACAAGAACGTAATCTCTCATTGGTGGCTAACGTAGTTATTGGAATTTTCAATAGCGGTGAATGTGTGAGTGTGTGTCTCTTGGAGCACGGCTCGGCTTTTAAGTCTACTCTGAAGCTTGGCTTGACTTGGCTGCGCTGCACTGCGGCTGCGGACGTGGCTGCTGCTGCTGTGTGTGGTTATTTCTGCTCTCTTTTCGCTTGTAACAACATTAACAAAGTGTGGATTAAGGACTGACCATCTATTTGATGTACCTGGGTGTGGAGTAGTTTTGGTTTATCTTGATTGTGGTTAGAACGGGGTAGTAGGGCGTAACAATCTAAGAGCTGACCGGCTCGGGCAGTGGGTTCTCGGTGATGCGTATTTTGTTGCTCTGTGTGCCGTAGTAGAGTGTGCCGGATGTGTCTGTGGTGACGTAGGCACGGTTGCCATTTCCATTTCCGTTCTCCTGATCTTCTTCCTCCTCGCTGGCGTCTGCGTTGTTATTGTCCCCAGCTCCAGTTCCGGCTCCAGCTCCGTTGTTGGTACAGTTAATGGCCGTCTCGCGTAGCCGATTGCCAATCCGTAGATTTAGCTGCCTCTGGCGATCATGCTCCCGTTCTCGGTCGCGCTCCTCCATCGCTTGCTGCTGCTGCTCCCGGAAGTTGGCGAAGAATATCGAGGAGTAAGTGTGGTACTTGGTGCCGCACGGGGAGCTCGCCGGTGTCGAGAGTGGCGTTGCTGTGGCAGTATTAGTGGTTGATTGTTGGTTGTTTTTGGAGGGGAAGGTAGTAGTTATTTACGTTATGTTACTCTTGAGCATGTAAGTTGTTGATTGATTGGTTGATTGATTGATTGATTGACTGGTTGGTTGGTTGTTCTTGATGGGTGTTTCTTTATACACTTTCTAGGGATTTGCTGCTGTTTAAAAGATGTCTGTGTAGGCGTGTTTTTGTGTTTGTTTTTGTGTGTGTGTTGTTCGGTGTCTGTGTGTGTGTGGAGTGCATCTTGATTGATGATTGATTCAGGATGATGCGGCGACAGTCGTTGCTCTGGTTGATGAGGCGATCTGACAATGAGTGGACGCAGGCTGAGCGGTGTCGATGGCTGCGCATGCGCACAATGATTTTCTGGATGAGGCGCCATCTGCCGGTGATGATACTCGGATGATGCTGTGGGAAAGAGACAGACACAACTCGACTCTCCGTCTGGAACTATAGTTCTTTTACAGGGCTGCATCTTTTCGTTATAGTTTGAAATTTACGTTGTTCGTTTTATTTAGAATTCTCAGATATACAACAAAAGCTTACACTTTCAGTTTTTTGTTTTCTTTTCTTTTCTTTGCATATACTTTTGTATGTATTTATGTATTGTAGTTGTATGTATATAATAGCAATGTATGTAGAAATTATGTATAAATTTATTGCTTTAAATACTCGTACATGGGGCGTTGTAAGCTGCGGGTGCGCCAGCGGCTGCTGCTGCTTGGGGGTGTCATGTGGCAATATGTGTGTGTGTATGGATATGTGTGGTACAGCTCGACTTTTAGGGCAGGGAAATAAATAAATAGATAAATAAGAAATACAAGACATAAGGGAAGTATGTATAGACAATATACACACATACATAGGCAATACGTTTATTGTAAATATTTATGTAGACAACAAATAAAAAATGCAAACTAATGCTTGTTGCCCGCTTCTTATGTAGATCTCTTACGACTATATATAATAATCCATAATCAATATAAAAGGTTAACGTAAAAACAACGAGCACACACAAACGAATAAAAAAGCTTCAGGGCGGGTGGGGGACTGCCTCCCCGGAACAGGTGAGAGGAAAGTTCCAACTTGTTGCGCTGTACCGTTACTGTTACGAGAGCGCGTGTGTGTGTGTGCATGTCCTGTGGTGTGTGTGTTTGGATTTTATGGTTGTGGTTTACTTCCAATTTGTCTCACTCTATGGCCCCTCCGGCTGCTTCTTGGAGTTAGGGAAGCCTGTGATGCTGTCACACCGCTGCTCTTGCTCTATCTCTTTAAAGCTTTCTTCCTTGGCTTTATCTCCTTTCTCTCTCACTCACTGCACACTAAGCTCAATTTGTGTGGAACTGCTCCGACTGGCCGTTGAGATTTTGCGTGCCAGCTTTTGGAGCGTGCCAACGGCTTTTTGTGGGGGGTTTTTACAATTACAGTTTATTTTGGTTTGTTGTTGTTTTTGTAGTAATTGTTGTTGTAGTTGTTGTATTTTGTATTCAATTTGCGTGTAAATAAATGAAATAAATAAAACATCAAATAAATTATAGGTTTTATCTAATTAAGGTGTTCTTTGTGTGTGTGTGTGTGTGTGGGATGGGTGGGTGTGTTGTGGTGTGGTGTGTGGGGGAAAATCAAAGAGCATTGGAAAAGCGTCAAAGCATCAGTTGCCAGGCCGCACTCTAATCTACTGTAGTATAGGCAGGGGATCAAAAGCAAACTACGTGTGTGCAGGCGGTACACAAAGTCAATAGAGAGTATTTTTTTGTCCACTAAAATCTCTACATTTTGACTATTTTATAAGTCTGTGTGTGTGAGTTTGTTTATATACGAATGTTAATTTGAATTATTTTATTAATTAATTAACTAAATGCATTCCAACTAGAATTTCGTTTGTTATTTGTATCGGTATTTTACTGCGCTGTGCCTTGGTTTGCATCCTCCTACTGGGGCTTCTCGGATACTACAGTTGTGTATTTATGTATGTTTTGCGTGTGTGTGTGTGCATGTTTTTGTGGTCGGCCGGGTGTACAAATATACATACATACCATATATGCGTTTATTATATTAAGTTTTTTTTTTTTTTTAAATTATAGAGAACGTCATTACCATTATACATAATATTTAATTTGTTGGTTGAAAACGAATTTCGAAACAATAAGAAAATCAGAATTAGAGTGGAAAAGAACACATTTGTTTTTTTTCGGGGGGGCATCAGAGACCAGACCCAGACCGGGACCAGGTCGATGGATGGATGAATGGATGGATGGATGGATGGATGGATGGGTCATGAAATCGAATGAGTGGTACCCAAGGTCGTGTGCATTGTGATGGATGTGATGTTGTTGCATGGGGGTTGTGGTTGGTTTTGTAATTGATTCAGAGTGCAATTTCGTGTCATATATATTTTTTTTGTTTGATTTTTATTTGGATTCGTGTGGCGTGTTGTTCGGTAGTTTTGGTATATTTTTTTTTTGGTTTTTTCATATATATTTTTTGTTTGTTTGTTTGGTATGTTGGTTTTTAGCAAAAACAAGCAGTTTTGGAGAAAGGAAAAGAAATGAAAAACAAAGTAATGAACATATTGAAATATCTTGTTGTTTCTGTTGATGCGTTAATGCATTTTGGGGTTCTTATTGGATTCGGGGTTTAACTCATCTGTTTGTGTGTGTTCGTGGGTAGGGTCTGGCCCTATCTAGGGGTAGTTTGGGGTAGGGTTATATAGTATATTTTATATAGAGAAAGTAAACTTAAACGATTTGATTTTCAACAACTTTTCGGCTTTTATTTTGAAATACTTTTCTTGCGTACAAATACTTTTGCTTCTTCAACATAATACGAGCGAATTTCAATTGTTTTTCCAATTGTTTGTTAATTTGTTAAATATAAAATTTTGCACAATTTGTTTAATAATAGTTTTTCTTTGGTTTGTTGGTTTCGTTTGGTTTTTTTGTTTTTTGTTTTTGTTTTGAAAAGCTTTTGATTCTCAAAGATTCTCATCCGTTTAGGCTAAGGTTCTGGGTTTGGGTAAGGCCAGAAGGCGACTTGGAGTGTGTGTGTGTCTAGGATCTAGGGTGTGGATAGACAGATAGTATTAGGGTCTAGGCTAGGTGCCTCTTTGGAATGGTTCTTGAACTGAACTGAACTGAGCTAAGCTCCTCTTTGGAGGGGGATTCTGGAGGCAGCTCCACGACTGCTCGCAGTCCCAGTCGGGGTTCTTGAGGGTCAAGACTAAGATAATAGTTGGGGCTTAGTAGTAGTTAGAGTAGTAATAGTAGTAGTTGTTGTGGATAGTTAAGAGGGTTTAAGTAGGTAATAGATTGCTGAGATTGTAGCAGAGATTTGCTGAGGTTGTTCAGTTGTTGTTGTTGGAGTAGTTTGTTGATGTTGTTGTGGTGGAGTGTGCGTGTTCTAACACTTACCATAGCCCTCGCCCTGCAAGAACAGCCGAAAGGCCTCGGCCAGCTTGGCCGGCTGCTCCTCGAGCACCAGAGCGCAATCGGAAATCTGAAAGGAAAAAGGAATCCACAGTCAGAAATCGAATTAACATTACAAGTGGGCAGGGGTATGCAATCAAAACAATCAAAAAACCTTCATCCAGGACGAGTTTGTGGGGTCCAGGCGACCATTGAAGGTGACCGTGTCGTCCACGTGCGGCGAGAGCGAACCCGTGATATTGATGACGGGCATCTTCAGCGTGGTGGCCGCCGTCTCCGTGCCCGGGGTGCCTGGCGGAGTGCGCGCCAGGTGCAGGTCGTTGCGATGAATGTACGCGTTGATGAGCATGGCCAGATTAGTCGGGTTGACGGCGCGCTCAAAGTGCTGCTTATACATCTGGACCAGGTCGTGGTTGCGCTCCTCCGGATTGCGCCCAAAATGGTGCCACATCAGGTAGTCAATCACGCCCTGGGTCATGCCCTTGGTGCGCAAGAAACGGGCGTTGAAGCTCTGATAGCCCCACTCGATCCAACCCGACTGCGTGGACACGCAATTGATCAGGCACAATGCCCCCACCTTATCCGGATGGCCGTGGGCGAATCTGGCCAGAATGTTGGCTCCAGCTCCCACCCCGAATCCAATCACGGACTTCAATCCAAAGTGCGACAGCACGAACAGCAGCTGGGCGGCCAGCTCATCCATGGTTGGATACACGTAGCTGTTGGGATGGACATGGAATGCATTAGGGTGGGATAGTTCCAACTGATATGCATAAAATCTAGGACTTACTCCTCTGGCAATGCTGGGGCACCCTCCTCCTGTCCGGGCGCCGTCACATGGTACACACAGAAGTTCTCCAGCAGGCCCCGCATCACTGGGAAGTTGAAGAAGCCAGCGAAGCTGGTGGCATCTGTGCGAGCACGTATTCTAAGACTGAGGCTTACTTCAGTTTAAAGAACAGTACTCACAGTTTAGCCCAAGATCGTGATAGGTGACGATGGCCGGCTTGGAGATATCGCCCTGTATGGCCACATGTATGTCGCCCTTGTCTGTGGGCACACGCCGCTGGTCGCAGGCCTCCAGGATGGAGCCGCGTGCATTGGGAAAGTGCAGCTGCACGGAGCGCAGTTCGATGTCGTCCATGGGGTCAACGGGCATGGTGCTGTGTGTGGAATGCCAAAGGGGAGGATTCAATTAGTAAATAATTTATTCTGTTTCCTGGTGAATCATCTGGTTTGATTAATGGGGCTCTTGGGCAGTAGTAGCAGCAGCAGCAGTAGCTGTGGAAGCGGCAGCTGTTCATGGACATGGCATAGTCCAGTCGGACTATGGCTCTGGGTGCATCCTTATCTATGGACTGGTCTATAGGGCTACTAACTAATAATGTTACTACTGTTAATCGGTTGGAACTGAGGCATGAACTCGCTGCTCGACTACGCTCTATATGGCATATAGTTTATGTATATGTATCGTATAGTATTTATAGTGAATGCAAAACTCAAATCAAATCAAGACGAACGTAGTTCGGTTAATCAACATTCGGGTTAGGGCAGAGACAGACAGAGAGACAGAGAGAGAGAGAGAGATAGAAAGATGCTGTTTATAGGGTTTAGTTCTATTTATCGTCTGCTTGCAATTCACAAAACCGAAAAAAACTGAAACTGAAACTCAACTCAAATCTAGGCAAAGATACTTACAAAACGTACGAGTACTGTTGTCTCTCGCACAGAGATATTCATAAATCAAATTCTAATGTGTGTGTGTCAAATTAACATAAAACAAAACTCTAAACTTGGTGTGATAGTGTAGGGGTGTTACAGTGTTTACAGTGTGTGTGTGTGTTTGTGTGTGTATATTTGAGTGTAAGAGGGGGCGGGCGACTCGAATATCTTACATTCGTAGGGTGTATTTTAATTATACAATATATATATATATATATGTATATATAGGAGGTTTATAATATGCTTGGGGGGAATCTGATTCGGTCGCTGCTTGGGCTGTTGTTCTTGGTTCTTGATTCTGGGGATCGGTGGACTTTGCTTACCCCAGCAGGTGTGCCTCCTCGGCAGTGTGTGTAGGTGCTGACGGCATCTTGGTGTTCAGAGTCTTACCAGTTTTGTCGCGGTCTCTGAAAGAGAGTCTATGAGCATGCAAGCAAAGAATAACAAAAAAAAAACACAAACTCTATGCAGTTCCTTGAGGACTTTTCCATGGTTATACGTATGTGAAAAATCAACAAGAAACCTCTTTCGATATATATGTGTAAAGATATATTTCTTTTGCGTAATTCTTAGGGAAGATTGACAGATAAAGGCACAGAGAGATTGAGAGAGACAGAGAGAGAGAGAGAGAGAGATGCAGAGATACAGAGAGAGCGAGAGATGAAGAGTATTATAGAGTAATTTCTTCGGCTTAATGAATGAAATCCGGATTTGATAGGACGACACTGGTTGGGGAGGGGGGACTGGAGAACAGCTGGTGTGAGGGGCAAGCACGCTGAGTAGGCTGTCACGTTGCGTTACGTAAAACGTAAGCAAATGAGTCACGCAATGTCATTCGGGGTAAATGCCGATGCGGAATATATGGCAGATGTCTGGTGGATAAAGAGAGACAGCAAACAAGTGGCGCCAGAAATATGAGACCAGCTGCTGCCAAAACAATTTACCGTTCCCTTTAGAGCAGCGCTCTCTTAAACTTCCGCTACCTTTTTGGGCCAGCTCCGTAGGGTAGCCAGGCAAACGGAGAGGTGGAATGGGCGAGAATAACTTTTGTTTACTCACCCACTCACTCTCTTTTTTGGCAAACAGAAAACTTTTACTGCGGGAATGGGCCCCAACTCAATTAGTTAATGTTTTAGGAGAGAGAGAGAGAGAGAGGGGGAGAGAGGGGGTTTTAGTTTGGAGAGAAGCTTGGCGAAAGGTAGATTCATTATCCTGGAATGGCTGGAATGGAATGGAATTTTTGTGGCTAACACCTTTAAATTGGTTACGTGATTATGCTCCATTCGAGTCACAGAGAGAACTTTAAGCAACCCCAAAGGAGGAGAAGCCATGGAGGTAAGGAAACTATTCGAATGGAACTCTCGCCAATGTTCCCCAACTACTTCGCCTACACTGGTAAGGATAGCTTTAACTGCGAATGAAATTCAGACTTTAATTGCTTACGTGATTATGCCCGAATGGAGATTAAGCCCATAGAAGGGAATTGAAGAGGGCATAGCTGTGGAGAGTGAAAAGTTCCACCCACTGACCACAGGTCAATTACTGTCACCGACTCTGGAAGGGGAAGATATCCATTCAAGGACAGATTTAATCGACTAATTACAGGCCACAGGAATTTTTATTTGAATAATTTATTGACACATGTATCCATTCGAATCGAATCCTCTGCACTAACTATTTCATTCCTTCGAAAGAGTATGGGGGGAGCAGTGTTTGCGACAAAGAGAGTAATGCTCCCTTTAATCTGCTGTTTATTCTTTGCTTTTGTTTCTTTTTCGACTTCTCAGTTTATGGATCGACTCAAGCCGGTGGCCTGGCCCTGTTTTAACCTGTTCGAACCGGTTGAGATCGGTTCAACCCATGGATAAGTGCAATGCACTGAACAGTGATATTCCGAGCTCTCGCTTACAATCGCCTGTCTCACTTGAATGCGAAATTAATTGAGCTAAATAACGGGCACAGGCTCCGGTCCCACTTACAGCGGAAATATGAATTAAAGCACTTGAGATGTGGCACGGATCAAGAGCGGACAGAAATAGAACGAATGTGGGTCAGACCGCGGCTGGCGTCCAACTAAACCGCTGTCTCGGCCCCCGACGAGTCGGGAGTGTGTGGATTGAGTGAAGCTTTTGCTCTGCTCTCGTCTACGTTTGTTGTATTGACAAAACTGCAAAGCTGTGCGGCAGAGCGGGTAAGGCGGTAAGGCGATAAAAGTGCAAACTGCGCTGCAAACAGCGGCGACCTTGAGTCATGGCTAAACTCCAGAATGAAGCTCCCAAAAGAAGATTCGATGACTGAATGTTGGGCTTGTGATAGGTGATAGGCAGCTACCATGCTCTACCGTGAGAGTATTAAATTGCTCCCTTCAATTTTCGAGACATTAGAGGGAATGTGGGTGATGATGTAACGGTAATGATATGTCCAGGAAATACATACATATGTACATAAGTATTCCTTGTAGCCAAATCAAAAGCAAAGTGTAAACATATCAAAAAGAGAAACAAAGAAATGCAACAACAGCTACAATCAAATTCAAAAGACATGCAAAATCACAATTAAGCGGAGAGAGAGAGGATGGAAGGTGGACAGAACATAACGCTTAGCTGAGCGGAGGAGGGGATGGGGACGGGGATGCTACTGGGAGGAAGGAGGTCAAGAGAGTTTTGATGTTCCGCTTTAAGTGCTGTCAGTGGGAGAGAGTGAGATTAAGAGGGCTGTGGGAGTGAGATTAAGAAGGCTGTGGGAGTGCGTGTGAGAGTTGTGTGATTAAGAGTGCGGTGGGTGCGTGAGTTTGATAGCAGCAGTGCGCAAGGTGTACTTATACAAGGTGAAGCAATGCCGAAGCGCGCTCTCACGATATGTAGTCGCCGGTGTTATTTTTCAGAGAGCGATGGAAAGGGGAAACTCTGAGGCCTCGCCTTGTACAGTATTCACCTTGGGAATGTGCGGGTGGGAGCTACTTGTAGCCCCAACCCCTTCCCACCACTTACCTGACACTGCCAACAATGACCGGCTGGCGCTCGGAGCGCAACAGCTCCTCGCTGTCGCCGGGCGTCGATTTGATCGCCTGCCCGATCACCCGCTTGACACTCTCGAATACGGAGGGTGGGGCCGAGGGCTCTGTGGTCGACTGATAGATGGCGCTGCCATTGCCATTCACAGCCGGCAGCGATACATAGCCACCCTCTGCCTGCGGCATTGTTTAATTTCTCTGTCTTTTATTATCTTGTCTTGATATATTCAGCACGTTTGCTCGCTTGACTCTTTGCTTTAATTTTTAATACTTAGCCTGCTTCGGGTCTTCGGATTAACGAAACGAAATACGAAAAGAAACGGAACGGAACTTCCTCCTGTGCATGCATATTTTGCGTGCGTGTGTGTGTGTGTTGGGGTGTGAGAGTGTATTAACAATGCATTTGATTCATCGGCCAGCGTCGGCGTCAGTGTCAGCGTCGATGTTTGTGTGGGAGTATATTTGTATGCGTGCGCCAAGTTTGCATGGAGGCAGCAGACAGACAGAGACATATAGAGAGCGTCAGCAGCAGCAGCAGCAGCGGCAGCGGCGGGAACGTCACAAAACATAAAGTATATAAAAATAAATAGAAGAGTACACAAAAATTATAAAACAAAAAGAACAACAACACACACAAATTGAAAGCTGTGGGGAAAATCAGTGTATTAATCAGTAAGGTGTGGCGCTTGCCAGAGAGCACTCTCCAGATAGTGCATGTTTGGTTGCAGTGCGTGGAGACACACCGAGCGAGAGAGAGAGGGAGCGGCCAACCAAATATGCAACGCAAAGAGTGGGAGTGGGAAGGCTTCACCTTGTGAAAGAATATGCTTTGAGTTAAGGAGGGAAGAGCAAAACAGAAGCACAGTTAATGAGGGTTAATAAGCAGTGAGGCCTCGTTATGATAAAACCAGAACCAGATTTAGTTAGCTTAGCATACATATAGAAAGAGTATTTTGATATTTTGCAAAACTATAAGAAAGCCAAAGCCCCACTTCCCATTGTTAGTCAAACTCTACTGTGCTTTAATGATAAATCTTTATACTTGTAAAGCCAGGGGTTACTGTCACTGTTCCCCCCGTTAGGCACGCTCTACTGTGCCAAAAGCTTCGGCGTCAATGTACGTACTTGAAACTAAATATGCAGGCCAAGCCGCAAAGTGCCAGCCCCCTTGCAGCCGCAGAGAGAGAAAGAGAGAGAAGGAGAGAGATGAATAGAAAAAAGAGACTGCAGCCCATCATCTGCTGCTCTTCTCCATCTCTTCCTCTTTTTCTTGCTGTAGTACGTGTATGCATTACATTAACCCAGTTGTGCGCCAAGAGGGTCCTCGGGTCCGGGCCGCTTCGTGCCCTGGCCCAGATGAGGGCCGAAAGTGCCAAAGCCATGAAAATCTCACACATGCTCAGGGGGATGACAACGTTATGAACCCACTACCCACTAGAGGGGAGCTGATTGAGTGCGTCACACGAGCAAAAATTTATCAACTAATAATCGCAAAAAAAACCAAAAAACAAAAAGAAACACAAGCAACAACAAGAGCAAATGCAAAAGCAAAAAACAAAAACATATGTGGCTCACCACTTGAGTTCGTTGCTGCCAGCTATGACGCAGCTCTACAGTAGATATAGATAAAAATGTATGTACATACAGATACTCATTGTAATATGTATATGTATAAATGTATCAAGCAGAACAAAACTCGTTGTGAATAAATCTTTTTTGCGTCTTAGGATATGAACGGCAGTAAGGGCAGCGCATTTTGAACTCGTGCCTGAACTGGAACCACATTGCGTATGATCTACGACGACCCTACAGAGAGAGCAAGTGAGAGAGAGAGAGAGAGAGAGAGTCCCTGTTTAAGAGTTTTATTATATAGAACGCAACAACTTTCGTTGCTTCATTGGTCATTAGGCCATTTAAACTGCAGCAAAACCCATATTTTCTGCATACATTTGCAATAAAAAAATAAAACTTTTGCCATAAAAAGCATTTCTAAGTAGAAGCCCCTCCACCAATGTGGCCCCAGCAATTGTCCCATCTCTCTCTCCCTATATTCTCATTATCATGTAGAAGTCCTGACTGATTCTTTCAGTTATTCGGATTCACTCAGCAAAACTGGAGACATACAGATGTACCTCCAACGAAGCAAGAGAGAAAGAATCGAAAGATCGTTTCAGAAACAAAAAAGTTTAAAGCCAAGAAATCGATTACCAACAAGGATATCCATAGGTTTGGCACAAGGAATTTGCGATAGCTCATACTCTGCCTTCCATCGTTACTTTTTAATCTTAATTCAGCTCGTTTCTGGGATTATGGCTGAGTGCATAACGAGGTTATTATCTTTTCGAATTTAAGTCTCGATCAGTCACGTCTGAAATAGGTGATTTATATGTATACCCTCCAAAGCTGTAGTTGGGTCAGAAAACCACAAAAGTTAACCTACCTTCTTCCTAGATTATTTAAAATTATTAAAATTCTTAAACACTTCTGCACCACTAATCGACACGAATTTCTGCTCACATTAAACACCCTCGAGCAAGCCCCAAAACATTGCTGAATGGCATCCCATTTAAAGTTTCGCCTGCCGTAGGCTGGAGGTTACAAGGTAAAGTCATTCAAGACCCTCCTCCACTCTTGCAGGAGCCACCACCAGGGCTCAACTTTGACCTTTTGCCTGGCGATTTATGGGCGCTGATAAAGTTGCGCTTGCACTTTTCTCTGTGGCCGCACGAAATAATATAATGACAGCAGAAGAATAACGGGTACATACATACATATATTTAAATATAGTATGGGCGAATGGCTGAAAGATTGTATAACTATGGTAAGTAAAAAAAAAAACGTTTATCAGCGGCACATCTGGGGCACTTCAATTCCAATAATTGCAGGCCAGCAGCGTGTGCCATTTATGGCGAATTATTCATAATTACAATTGTACGCGAGGGTGCAACAAGGAAAGCAAAAGCAGTAGCAGTAGGCAGCAGCAGAAGAGGTGGAAAAAACTCGTCGAGCCATGGAAATTGGCAAATGGAGAGGAGGTTATCGGTAGATATACTCGTACAAACCTCATAGTGCCATACCATGCCCGTGCCCGTGCCAAAGGAGCACACCAAATATCGACAATTTGGCAGAGTGCCATGGCAACCGTTGGCAGGTCAACGGGCAACAACAAATCCATTGGAGAGGAGGTTCTCCAGCTGGGAAAATAGTCGCAGAGCTATGTATGTATTTGACATTTCTGTAGATCTTCTTCTAAGCAACTTCTCTTTGTGTCAGTCAGTCAATGGATGGGATTGATTTCCCCCAGAAATAGTCTTGGAATTGCAAGGATTTCATGGTCCTTCCCGTTTGATTGAGTGCAATTTGTCCGAACCTTTCAAGGATATATCGCCTGCTGTAGCGACACAATTGCAAAACAGAAATTATTCAAATTTTCTGCTTTCCTTGAAGTGGGGAAAGAGGGGAGCCGCCTAGAGGCTAGAGGGTAGGCACCAGGGACCAGGGACAGCTACAACGACAGCAAATCACATAAAGGAAATGTCACGCTATGCCAGGCCGCAGGCCAACGAAAAAACATGCTAGAAGGAATATTTGTTGGTGCTGAACTTACTAATACCCATACCTCGAATTCCTATAATATTAAACGAATTTTTGTTTGGATTTTCTTAAGAACAGAACTATAACTTCAGCGATTTAGGCGGCCTCTACTACAGAGGGATCCCTTCCAGATTTCACTGATGTATCTTTATAGACACTGCGTTATTATTTCCTTCCTTCCCTCCATGCCAAACTGATGTGCAAAACCACTATACCCTTTGCTGCAGGATACAAAGACGTACAAAATCACACGTTCAACGTCATAGTGTTCTTGCAGGATATGCGAGGATATGGAATGGGGTGAGTGTGGGCACGGTTCGGGGTTTTCGGAGGTGGTGGCGGACTGTGCAGGTTGCTTTACTGTTACGTGTTTGCAATCGATTTGAAAGTTACATAAAAACAGAACCGCCGCAGCAGATGAGGGGAGGCCAAAGGGGTGATGATGATAACAGGGAGAGGTAGGCAGTTGGTAAACCACCTGAGTGGACAACAGGAACAACAATAACAACAGCGAGAAGGAATCGCCAAAAGCAATTTGTGAACTTTTTTTTAGTGTTTGTCTTAGTTAGTGTTTGTCTTAGTATCCATGTGTGTGGGTTTCGTATCTGTGGTTGTGTGTGTTTTGGGGGTAAACTGACCTACGCATTAAATATGCAGAAAAGTCAAACGGAACGGAGAATAGAAAACGAAATGGAATAAGAAAAAAATGACTGGCGATGGCGCCGACAGGTTACCGTTACATCAAGCACTCCGTCCCCGCCTCAATCGCTACAGAGAGCAATAAAATTTCACAAAACAGCAAATAACAAATGTCTGCAAGTACAGTCGAGCTTCTAACAGGTGAAAACTCTAAGAACAAAGAGAGTCACATGTCTCCGCTTCCACTCTGCAGAGGCCCCACAGTGCTGCGGCGAAGTTTTGCTGGAGGTCGTTTAGAGCTGGGAAAACATCGACAGAGAGAGAGAGAGAGAGAAGAGATAGATAGACGTGGAGAGGCAGAGACAGGCGCTGGTATTACGTCAGAGCCATGGAGCCATTCCGTGGGGCTTGTCAAAATTAGCAGCAAAAATCACAACAACAAAAATCAGTAAAAACTCGAACAAAAATTAAGAAATTGGATGCATTAGTGGTATATGTATAGAGATGGCTAGCAGCAGAACCAACAACAGCAACAACAACTAAAACAACATGCAGGGTGGAAACGTTTAACAGCTAGCTGTTAACTACAGCAGGAAAAGGAGGAACAGGCAAGCAGACAGAAGAAGCAGTGCAAAATACAGTTGTGCTAATTGGAAAGAGACACAGAGAAAGAGAGACAGTCAGAGACAGAGACAGAAAGAGAAAAAGTAATTACAAATACATGGATGCAAATGATAAAGTTTGGATGATGCAGCGTGTTTTAATGGGGGCGAGCGCAAGAGTTCGAAGACTTGAGAGAGAAAGACAAGACAGAGAGAGGGGCGGGGGAATGGAGAGTGGTAGTAGTAGTAGGAGAAATGCAACAAAACAAATGCACAAGGCAGAGGGCAGCGTGAGATATGAGGATGATTAAATTAAGTTAATTTTGCTGCTCTTTCGCTGCGTTTTGCATTTGTTTTGTCTGTTTATGCGAGTGTATGTGTGTTCATCGTGCCTGGAGTGTAGTTGTGTGTGTATATGTGTGTGTGTATGTGTGTTTACGGGTAATGGGAAAGAGATTGTGTGGGGGAGTGGGTGTGGAAGAGTGCTAGTGGACATCAAAACTCACCTGACGCTCGTCGTCGTGGGGCCGTGTGTATGTGTGTGTGTGTGCGTAGGGGGTGGTGGTGTCTCTCCTCCTGACAGAAATGGGTCGACTTTGGGATTAGCAGACGTCAGGCAGGTGCTATTACAGGTAACCGTGTTGCGGACAACTACAGCACGCTTTTATGAATTGCTTTTCTTTACTGTTATCACAGCACTGTTCTTTCCACAAAACGGACAACGACAACCGCGGCGACGACTGATTTCTATGAAAAAATCAATATCGGTCTCAAAAACGTTTTTTTACAACTTGACTTGTGTAATTCAGCTCCTTTTCTTTTCTTTTCTCTTTGCGTTTCGCCCTTTTTATTCGCGCACTCGCTTCCACCCACAAGCAGGCAGCAGGCAACCTTTCGCGTTCTCACACACTTCACACTTAATTCTTCCAAATCGCGACTAACTAGTTATAAAAAATTAGGTGTAATTTCAGCTGCAGTCAGTAGAGGTGTCAAACCATCGAGGGCACCATCGATAGTATCGATATTTTACTGCTAGTCTCTACTATCGACAGTTTTGCGACTATCATGATAGTATCGAGCTACAGTCGTTGCGCTTTTGATATGTTTGGATCGGTTGCTATAAAATACGAAGACACATTTGTAAACAAATCGACAGGTGGCATCTAATTTTTACAATGGACAAGTTCCTAATAGGTTTCAATGGTTTTCTAATAGTTATTTGAGCCCGATACTATTAGGATAGTATCGACTGTTTTTTTTTAACATTCAACGTTGATGTTCCTCGAATTTGATATTCCGTTTAATATTACTAGCTAGTTGGCCCTCTCAACACTAAACAAATAATTTTATCCGATAGATACATAAATTTTTTAAGAGATTGGCAAGTTTTCAGAAGTCCTTTTTATTGGATTATTTACATATTAAGGTTCAAACAAAAACGGCCAAAGCATAAAACGTAAATGTTGACTAAATGTGACGTCACATGTTGCTGGTCAACCAAGTTTCTTCCATGCGTATGGGCTTCTGTATACCTTATTTCCTTTAATTGATGTTAAATTTGATGTTTCAAGCTCCATTGAAACATTAATAATGATTTTATCCTAGATTGACATGTTTTTAACCTCTTAATGAATATATTTGTGTGTTATATATACAGTTCTGATACCAATTATTGGAACCCGTGAGCTGCAAAACTTTTTTAATATCTTTAGAACAGAGACGGAAAAGTTTTTGCATTAATTGGAGCCTGAAAATTCAAACAATATCTCAAGTCCATAATATCCATTTTCCCAAGGTATGCAGATCGTTGCTCATTCCGTGCTAAAGTTGCACAACATTGCTGCTACTTCATTTCCCCATGTTGCTGCTGGAATGACGCAACAATGAATCTTTATTCCATACGCGTTCCCGTAAGATACATTTGATTTTGTATGGGAAAAATTTCAGCAACATGCTGCCACACCACGAAAATGAGGGGAAAGTCTCCACAAAAACACTCTATTCTCCACGAATTGAGAGCAAATTTTGAAAACTCTCCACGAATTGAGAGCGAAAAATGTCAGTATTTTTTGTGCGCTAAATGGAGGTTGGCGGTCATTTTGAAAGTATTTTTAGTATTTTTAACAACTGGAAACAGCTGTGACCCTGTGTGAATGGCAAAACACCAAAGAAGAAGAGGCCATGTGGAAATAAATTTTGCGGGTTGTTTTGAATATTAATTTGCTTCCTTAATTTGCACATAGGAGAAGTAAAAAACGAAGTAAACATCTTCCCCAAAGCAGCCCCAGCAAAGGTAATTATCATCGGACACACATGACCGGAGAATCTGAATCGTTTCTAAATTGCAGACGAAATGCCTCGACGCTACAGCAAGAGACTGAGGCTGGATAAACTGAACAACTCGGCCAACTCGAGTTCCGCCCGGGAGTGCAGCAATGACGAGAAGGGGCGCGAGTCGGAAGACGATGGCGAGGATGCCTGCAATAACTCTGATGAGGGGCGAGAGTCTGGAGGCGAAGGCGATGATGACGAGATCAAAGCGCCAGGCAACTATTTGCGTTACGTGATGGAAACCACGGCCCATTTCAGCCACCCGTCGCTGAACAAGGGCTTGGCTGTAAAGCCGGACGAAAAGCTGCAGACGTTTCCCAGCTGCAGAGAGTATGTGCCAGTGCCAGTGTTCGTGGCCAGTGACGGACAGACGCCCCACATTGAGCCCTGTGTGCAGCGGCCACAGGCGTACGATGATTATATGCACCAGCTACAGCTTCTAAAAACCCAATACGACAAGCGCACCAAGCAAATGAAACAGAGAGAGAAGAAGCACCAGGAAAGGATTTACGATGCGCGCCTTTTTGACATTGCAGAACACATAGCCTCGCAGGAGAATCGATACTTCATGGACAGCTACGACTACTACTACACGGGCGGCAACCTCCAGACAATGAGCTACCAGGGCAAGACCCTGGCCATGCACGTGAGTGGCGACAGGCTGCGGGACTTGCACTTCTCCGAGGTGCACGACGAGGCCTTTTTGTGGCATCCCCTGTACTCGGCCATGCTGAAGGAGACGACCAGCGAGGCCTTCCAGCTGCTGCCAATGGAAAGCTTTCGCGTCAACCACGGCCACATGTTCCTCGCCCGCTTTCTGAGGGAGATTTCCATCTACGAGTTGAAGGAGACGGACTTGAGCGAGGAATACGAGCTGGTCTGTCAGAGCAAGTTCAGCAGCCAGGATGTGCCCTTTATCAGCGCCGCCCAGGCGGCGGGCAACGCCAACATACTGGCCATCGCCTGCCAGGATCGGACCGTGAGCTTCATAGACCTCGTCACGCAGCAGGACATCGACAAGCACAATGTGTGCATGCTGAAGTCCTTCAACAAGCACAGCAGCACCTGGGCCCAGCTGATTCCCGCGGGTAGCAGCAGTTTCCACTACCTTTGCCAGCCGATGCTGCTTACGGTGGACGTGCGCATCGACCAGCCGCTCAATCCCTGCCACGCCAGCAGTGTCGACATGAATCAGTGCGAGGCCTTCTCCTGCCTCGCCCGCAGCGCCAATCCCAACCTGCTGTATGTGGCCAGCAACCACAAGCTCCACTGCCTCGACATACGCTGCCTGGGCAAGAGGCTGTCCGACCGCGCCGTGCTCACCTGGACCCACCAGATGACCTACCCGCCCACCTTCATGGACACTTGCATATACAACGGCAGCGAGTACGTTGCCATGAGCAGCCTCCTGGCCAGCGATCAGCGCATCTGCGAGCTGAGCGGCGCCCTGGCCCAAAACGTCAACAATATGTCCTCGCCGACGATTCCATACAAACCGCTCTCGCTGGAGGAGACTCTGCTCGATGCGCAACTGCAGGGCTCCGTCGATGTGTACGCAAATCTGCAGGAGCGAGTCAAGGCGTGCGTCACGGGGCTGCGCTTCAACATGCTGGAGAACGAGACCGCCCAGCATGACTTTGCCCAGCTGCTGACCTCCAACAGCATCGGGGATGTCTTCAGTCAGCGGCTGACGGTGCGCAATGAAGTCAATGAGTACCGCTCGGGCCTCCACACCATACCGGCCATCTCCTACTACGGAAAAATAGTTAACCAGTGCGTAAACCGGCAGGAACTCAGGTGCACCGAGGTGCAGTCCATTCCCATACTGAGGGACATCATCAAGACGGAAGCACGCCGCGCTTCAATAGAAGAAGAGAAACCCGAGGAAATCAGCATCGAGTACGGTCTGGAGGAGTCGCAGGAAGAGATTCAAGCTTCCCAAGAAACGAACACCTCAAAGGAGAATGGTGATCTCGAACCGCCCAAAGCGGATGCAAAGCAGAAGGCGAGAGAAGTCAGCCGCGGACCCTGGCAGAAATCCGCCCACAAACTGTCCAGCTACACGGACATGCTGAGCACCCGGCTCCTCAGTGTGTGGGACATGGACGACTACGACCACACCCGAGACATGTACGCCAGCATGATCAACGAGCAGTTGAAGGAGGAAAAGACGGAGCCAGACGACCGCATGGACGACTGGCTGAATCAGCTCAAACCAGAGGCCCCCATATCGGAGGACGACGACTCTCCCCTAGTGCCCGGCACAAATCTGATCAAACGCTATGGACTCACATCGGCGGACTGCGCCCGCATCGAGTCGATTGAAATCGAAGACCCTCAAGCTCTAGTCAGCCCACAGCAAGAGACGTCTGCCGATGTTCTGGTCAGCCCCAAGAAGGAGACGTATACGGACGACAACCTGGAGGCCAGCTGCAGCCAGCGACGATACTCCAGTCTACTCCCTGGAGAGTCAACGATCATCGAGTATGATTTCGAGAAAGCGGCCATGAACATTGTTAGGGCCGAACCCAATCCTAATCGTGCTCCTGCCAAGAAACCCAAGACCAACTACACCAAAGGATTCTAGTTCACGTCCGACTCCAATGAACAGCTGCTGGGATTAGTTGGGACGGGATGGGATAGAATTTGTTATTTGTATCATCTATGTAGGCCTTGAGAACAGAATCGTGCGCTGATTATATATTTGGAAGCTGTGTATATTATCCAAGTGAGTAAACTGTAGTTTATACTCGCCATTTTGATTGGCCAATGCCTCGATTGGCCCGCGATGATACAGCAGCATCTCCTGATAGGTCGGGCTCATAGGCAGGATTCACTATGCCACCGATGGGCTCCACCACGAACCGATCGTTTCGACGCTTGAGGGCAAAGCCCAGGGTATTATTCTGTAGTTCCTGCAACATTTTCTGGACCACCACACGACCGCGTTGAGAGTGCCACTGATTTCAACTGATTTTCCAATTAATTTGTTCAGATTTTATTCAATTGTTTCATTCGATTTGGGGGGCCCCACACTGCAAGACTCGATATCGCTGGACGGTGCTCAGTGGGGCGTAACATGATCCAAGGGTGACAAATTCGCATTCAGAGGAGTGCCCATGTTGATTGTGTGGAATACTCTGAGCTCATACTAAATCCGATATCTGTACTAAGCGAGCAATAGTTGAGGCAAGTTATCTGAGACGCAACAATCTAGGAATTTTTTTGTTTAATTTAAGTTGAGCTTAATCCATTAGAAACGTATTCCACTTATAGGAAATGTTTTCTTTTATATGCAATAATTCGTAGGCTCAGGAAACATATTTATTTTAATAGAAAACAATCATTAGGTTTATTTTTTAGTTTGGTTCCACCCCCAAAAAAGAACGCCTGCGCTTTCCTTCAAGGGCGGAGCTTATCCTTATGTTTAGCAACTGCCAAAAAGGACGAATGTTGCATGCAACATGTTTATAACTGTGATTCCCTTTGCTTTTGTCAAAGCATCCTGCAGTCAACATTTGAAAACTTTCGCGTGCAGGTTGTGTGTGTTCCTCTAGATTCTGTTGATTTTCGAAATCTTCTATTTTTTAGTTAACTTTTATTGAAGCTAAACTACAAAAATATAGAAAATTTCAATTTAGTTTCTGGCTAATAGTTTGATAAATTCAAATTAGTCTTATCATTTTTCCTGTAAGTGTTGCTATGCTAACAAAATATACGATACTATAGTATTTTTGTGGAAATTAAATTACTTCAGGAAATTAAACCCAAAGTAAAATGCGATTAATAAAATAATGATTAATATTATTAAATTCTTTAAACTTTTAAAAAACCCGAAAAAGTCTTTATGAAATATTGAAAACTGTGACAAGATATAAGTACCTGCCAATGTACAATTACAATTATAAAAAATAGATACTAATACATTTTAAATTGCTATAATTCTTCTTGAAAGTGACCATCGTCCAGAAGTCGTAACTAAACGGTTCAGATTCTCTGCCATCGTCGGCTATCAGCGTGAACCGCTCCGCGAGCAACTTGATTACGTGGACAAGTGCTGTCCGCTCTCACTGTGTGAATATGGTGGAAGAGAGAGAGAGAGAGAGAGAGAGAGGAAGTGTGCCAGCAGGGTACACCAATAAGAGGGTCTGGGGACCAGATTCTGAAGAGAGCAGCTGGCAAGCACAACTTTTGCTACCTGCAGCATGGCCATACCTTCCACATGAGTTTACCCTGAGCAGCACGATCATATCATATACACACATACATATGTACATAGTTTCTTTTTAGTGAATCGCTGATCGCTAGCACTATCTCTCCGTTGTAGTAAACCGCCGCAACCGACAATAATTCCAGCAGTTGCCTCTCGAGAGTCGAACGCAACAGTCAACAGTCTCGTCTTCCTCCGCCGCCACTGTTGCTCGCGTGTTTCTGTGCTTGTGTCTCCACTCGATCCTCCTCAGCCGCGCCCTCACCACCGGTATCCAAGCATCCCAGTGATATCTATCTGTAGAAAAACACCCAAAAGGTATATCATCCCATCTGTGTGCTTGGCTAGCGTAAATTTATAGTGAAATTTGTTCATTCAAAAGGCGATATGAAAAGAAAGCGTGTGTACTTTGCCTGCAGTCCGTCTCTTTCATTCATATTCAGACCACGACCACACGAGTGCGATTCGTCGTGAAAGAGAGAAGAGTGCAGAGAATAGTTGTCGTGTGAGAGAGCGCAGCGCTTATCGCTTCAAAAAATAAAGAAAAAGATGTTGCCGGGCGGTATTTCGGTTTTTTGTAGCTCAATCACGATTCGTTTTATTTTGTTGTCCCCGATCTTGAGATCGTATATGTATGAACAATTAGCGTTTTGGGAAAGGGAAGTGGAAAAGTTCATGACGTGTAGCTTGGTCTAAGTTTTCCCGCAGTGTTGCAGTAGCCATTCTCCCCATTCCCCCCATTCCCCCCATTCCTCACCATTCCATTCCATATCCGATTCATTTAGCGGTAGGCTGCAAATTGAGTCCCAGATTTGGAGCCAACGGTACATTGCAGTGGTTCACTGAACTGCCATAAAGCACCACCGACAACAACAACAACAAGAAATACCTAAAAAAAAGAGGCACACAAAAATCCGAAATAAACAGAAGAAAAAAAACAAAAAAAAAGAAGCAACCGTACGCCCCCAACAGGTTTTTTGGGTACTACCACACACACACACACGCATGCAATCCGAAAGAAAGAAAAAGAAACAGAGCAGGGTAAATTACTGCGAGGGTGAGGCAGTGCAAGAGAAAGGCCTTCAGTTCTTCTTTAAGTGGCGGAGGATTCCTCAAAACATAAAGATCGTGGGAGCAATAGAGGCAGTCGGTTGTGGTGTCCGAAAAGCAGCATTATTCTACCTTTGATATGGCTTGTAAATCGGTGGAAAACAGGTGGAAGGAGAGCAATCTCTGGGAAAAGATTATAATGTCGATTTCACGTAATTGAAGTCACTCTTGATCCGACTATTCATTGCCTTTCTTTCCATTAGTGAAAGTTTTCCCCTCCCCATACCATTGGAAGGCGTTTACTTATTTTTGTGGTTGTTGAGATTTGAATTTATTGCAAATCATTTTTTGGCATTGTCTCATCTGCCAGGGCTTTCGACGGACCGTTCGACCTACGCGCGCGCTCTTTCAAGCCGCAACTTTCATTTGCGAACGAAACGGTACACCAAACCTACCCACCACCTATGGATGTACATATATGTATGTATGGACGTGTGCGGCTACAACCTCTCTGAAATTCCAAATTGCTTTGGTCACCCTGTGCGGACATTACGCATACGCCATACGTCCGCAATAATACGCGCGCAATAACTTTCGGCTTCGGCTTGCATAATCTTCCCCCTCCCCTACCTACAGCCGGTGTCCGGTCCGTCCAGCAGATGGCCAAAGCTGGCAGCGTCGTCGGCTCTACCCCTCTCCATAAAATGAATTGCACATTTGCATAATGACTAATTTTTGCTCTTTACATCCCATTCACAATCGCCTCTGTTCCCCTCATGCACCTCTTGCACTCTTCATTTCAATTTCATCTTTACACTGTTGAGCAAAACCATTGCGACTCTTCGTGAAATTGGTTTCAATCCAACATTTATCGCGCTTGTGCAACATTCATCATGAAATATCAGTGCAAGGTGTTGAGTTGATGATGCAGAGCCAATGCCAAAAGATAATTGCGTTGATTTCGACTTATGAGAGAAGGTGCACATTACTTCAGGGCTAACATTATTGGCTTGTTTCATCTGGAGATCAGAGGTTGAAAGTTTGCTAGGCTGCTGATATTATACCCAAATAACTATGGGGCATAATAGGCATAATATTAGACTTAGCTTTGGACATCTGCTTTATCTGCTCTGTCCATAATGTTCATTCGCAATAATCATTAGATTTTATGCATTGAAAAGGTTTTCTTTCGTTGTCAACTTTGTATGGCAGTGTCAGAAACAAGTTGCCGTTCCTCATGCTCTTGCGCAAATCAAAGCCGTATTTTTGGTTAATCGAGTTTTCCCCCATCTCTTATATATTTTTTGCAGACATGTTGAAGTCCAGTCTCGTTTTGTCGTGCCTACTGCTGGCCAGCAGCAGCCTCGTTCGCGCCGAGGACCTCAAGGTGGAGGTGGTCAGCGTCCCGGAGGGTTGCGAGCAGAAGTCGAAGAGCGGAGACTCCCTCACGATGCACTACACTGGCACCCTGCAGGCCGATGGCAAGAAGTTCGATTCGAGGTGAGTTGGGTTCTGCTCCTCTCCCATTAAAAAACGCTTTCCATAAGGTCCAGGAGTTAACCATGGGCTGGACAATGTTTAAAGCTGATTGCTGGCGTAATCTCCACAGCACACATATAGTACATACATACATATATCCTAGATTAACGCGGACAGACTCTTTGAATGGGGATTACGATTGGGGAGCTGGGGCATGTACTATGCCTATGCAAGCATCATCATAGTCCGTCGTCACGGCGGCTCATTGTCGTAAATTAGACGCCAACTGATAAGCGATCTCATTGTTGCATTGTTGTTCTTGTTGCTGTTGCTGTTGCATTTTCCATGCCTGAATGCCCCATGCCCTTACCCCCCTTATCTTTGTTTTTTTGTATGTTTTGTTGTTGTTGTTTTTGTTGCGGCTTCCGTCGGGTGTGCGGCGGTGAGGTGGCCCTCATAAAGCAAAGAAATCAGCTCCTATGGCAGCATAGAAGTGTGAGAGGGAGAAGGGTTAAAGTTGCTTAAAACACACAGCAGTTAAAATAGCTCATAAATTATTGGATATACATGTTCGATTAATTGTTTAAATATTCGAAAAGATTTCCAAGTTATCTTTCGGATTTCTATACGTTGTTTTGGAACTTTTTATATATAGGAATTAAATACTTCTTCCAACCAACAAAAGGAGATTTCATACTTATTTTTTACCACAACCCTTAACCCTTCACCCCTAACCGAAACACTAATAAATCGTGTATGTTGTCTGCTTAATTTAAAACATGAGCTCAAACCGTCCTCCCCCATGCACCCCACACTTCTACACTCAGTTTTGCATGCACACAACGAACACGCAACAAGGAGCAGTGAAAACCAATTAAAGCTGAAAAATCTCATCTCTCAAAAAGAGTGTAATATTTCCCTACCCCGTCCCACATAAGAGTGTTTTCCCTCTCTTGTGGAGGCGTGTAATCATTTTGGCAAGCGCTAAAATTTGGTTTATCATCAGATGAATTTCCCAACGATAGCAGCTGTGTGGCCAGAACTTATTGACCAAGATAACCCGTGGAATCGCGATTAGCACACCTGATATATGGTCCGGTCTGATGAATATACACTATATATACAATATATTTTTTTAGCATAAGCCTGCACCCTTTCTCTATCTTGTCCTCTTGTCGTCTTGTTATCTTTTGGCTTATCAAATTTTGATTTCATTTTATGACCAGAAAATTGTGTCTCTCATAAAGGAAATGATTTCGTAATCGTCCCAGTTCCCTACCCTCTCAGACCTTGCCATATGTTAAACATCCGAAAACATTTCATTTCACATGTCCAGCCATAGGAGGTCCTCCTACTCGTCTCTGCCTCTGCCGCTGGAGCCGAAAGTTGTCCTTTGGTTTTGGGCTTACCTTGTCTTTTGGTTGCCCACTGAGTGGCAAATTATCTGAGAGCTGTCCCTGCCACTCCACTCCACTCCACTCTCTCTCTCTCTCTCCGGTTGAAAGTTTTGCAATTGCTGTTAAATTTAGCGTGGCAAAGTCACAGACCTGTTCCCCATCCCGAGTGCGAGTGCGGGTGCGAGTGGCTGTGGGAGTCGGAGGCAGGCCAACTCACTAACTCAATCAGAGTGCATCTTCAGCCCCATGCCAGACTCTGTCTGCCACTTGTTGCTGCGGCTTAAATGCTGCCCCTTCCCCCAAAAAGTCAAAGCAACAAACAAAAATGAAGCAAAGGTTTTTGTCAGTCGAAGATTGTGATACTCTAATATATATAAACTTGACCAAACGAAGCTGAAGTTTCAGCTTTAAAATTTGAGACAAAATTTTCCCACCGAACTTGGGTTCAAGGATCCAACCTCAAGGATCGAAAACACCTAGACATATACAAAATACCCTTTGCAAGAGTATAACAAGGCACTTTGCCAGTCAATTGCAGTCAAGGATGTCGGCTACTGCGGCTCCCCGCTGCGAAAAG